GTTAAAATGGATTGCTACAGCCAATTATCTCACTGCATGGTGGGTTAAAGATACATAGCTTTCTAAACAGGCAATACAAAGTGTAAGACAATATCATCTCCTCCAGGAAACAGGCAGTTCTTTTCTTTTTGTTTAGGTCTGTTTATTCTCTTGTGTCAGATAAAGTTCCTTGCTTACAGTAGGGTGATTTCAGAAAAAAGTGTATGAGACCGAGCAGCTCAGTGCACCTGGTTGGGCAGGTTGTTACACAGGCTATATCATCTAGCAGGTCATCTAGCATCTAGAAGGTGACTGATTATTTGTTTTTCAAGTGATACACAGACAATAAAAAGTACAGGAAAGAAGTGAACTGCCATCAAGAACCATGCAACCTTCAGTTGCCATACCTGAAGCTATAGTAATGCATATTTCAAGAGCACAGCAAACAAGAGTTACCAAACAGAAGTAGAAAATTGTAACGAGTGTATGAAACATGCATACGTACTCAGGTTTTTTCCTCTCACATTGTAAAATACAATAGTTGGCACGTTTTGGCAAAAGTAAAGGACAACCTCACTCTCCTCTATATTATAGCTCACATATGAGACAGTACTTCAACTGAGTCAGACTGAGAGACAGAACCTGAAAGTGACCTGCCTTCAGGAAAGCTTCATCTTAATGTTTTTCATGATTCACTTGGAGTCATTAAAAGATTTGTATCTTGGGTTCACTGTATTTGGAGTTGATCAAAATTTCCTGCACCATCATCTCAGCACCAGGTAATGGCTGTTATTAAGGACATTGTACTGTACTCACTGGACAAAAAAATCTGTGGGGAAAGTTACAGAAGAGGTAACATGAGAAGGAGAATTCTTACCAGCTGTACACTGAAACAGATACTGTAGCAGTGACAATTCCAGCTGGCATGGCTTTTCAGAAAAATAGGACCAATGTATTTGTTATAAATGGCTAGCATACTCTGAATATCATATTTTCTAGGCTGTTTCTCTCAACTCTTTAACTGTTGGTACAAGAAAAAAATAATTAAAAAAATTAAATTGTCAAGATTGGAACATTTTAATGAATTAGGAATGTGCTGACTTTTGAAAGTAAAAAAGTAAAAAATCCCCAACAAATACTTTCAAAAAAGTGAAACCCCCATGTTTTTCTGTGTATTTCTTCATTATATATTCATTGTTATTATATTATTATCCATTACATAACTAAAGAACATGGGAGGGAGGAGGATGTATCTTGGGGTACGACTACAGGGCCACAACCTTCTCTTTCTTATATTGCACGGGAAGCATTCTCTCCCTAACCTTGTCGACCATGAGTTCAGAGGCTGGGCTGTGCAGCCCCTTTTATTTTCCTATCTTTGCTACATGGTAATCAGCCAAAAGAGCCCTGCATTCCCCTTCTGAGAATTAGTGCGACATATATAGGAAGAATGTATGTATAAACATATGCATCGTTACATACATATGTGTATATATACATAACACACACAAATGTGTGCATATGTATGCATACAAATCCATGGCTACACTTTGGAGAGCAAGAATGGCTTTCTGAAACGGAGGATTAGTTTGGGGTCTCCAAGCCTTTGCACAGCATGCAATTCCATGCTCACTGCCATGGATGCCGATGGGTTTGTACCTCAGGAAGAGAGCTATTGTTAACTGCTGTAGCCCACACTGTCTACTCACATAAACTGGAATCGCTCCATTTGAAGTCAATGGAGCTGCATCAATTTGCGCAAGCAGAAGAGCTGGCCAAGTATGTACTAGTTACTTTACATTCTGAGAAGACAATGTTCATAATTGAAAGTAATACCAAATGCTCTTAGCAAATACTATGAATTATTCAGATTAAATATAGAGCCTTCAAATGACTATATAAAATGTTCTAAACAGCTGTGCCTTGTAATTGGGACTGACTGGCAAACTGGAAAGTATTGAATGTAGTCTGAATTTGACTTGATATCTGAGTAAAATGAGTATAATACTAACCATATTCTGGATCCTGGCTGGGGTTATACTTGGTTTTCTACTAATGCTGTTTTCTCTTCAGGCCTTTTCTTCTTTGCAGCTGCAGTAATCCTAAGTGAAGCAAAGCATGTAGCTCCACGTCTGAGGTATGAGGACGGCATGTTCATTGATATGTACAACTCACACAGCATGAATGAAGGTAGATCATGAAAATAGGTGTTGGGGAATGAATGGTTTGGAGTGGAACCAGTGGTTTTCTATTTATGTACACTTCAGTTCCTAGAATAAAGGAGTTTTTGCTTTGCAGCTCTAGCTTTATTTTGTAAAAGCTAAACAGGATTCATGGTGGAAACTGACTTGTAAACAACTGTATCTGTGGCTATTTATCAAGGGCCTGTCTACTTAATTCAGAACAACTGTGTCCCATCTTCAGAGGCTTGTATACCTGCTTTATATGACAGATATTTGAAGACTAGGTTTCATTGTCTGAAGTGGTATTTTTGGGTATCTGAAGTGTGAGATTCTTATTCAGAAGAGAAAAGAAGAGCAGAAAGTGCTCAGCATTTTCTGAAAAACAGATTCTCTAAAACATTTCAAAGTGGGAAGCAAAACTTTTGAGGGTATTAATTCATCACCTTAGAAAATCGTGTCATAAAAGCTAGCATTTCTTAGTTTCTTAAGAAGTTGTGTCCCAGTGTTGGCTCTTACATACCATATTCTGTGTCTGCAGTATAGATATATATAATTTTTATTCATATATAAGGCTAACCCTTAAATATATTTCTGTTAGCTTCAGCTTGATTCCTCAGGACAAGCCCTTTCACCTTGAACTGTGTTGAAGCTGTTACAGAACAGCCTATACTGTAGGCTAGATTAAAAAGGAATGGGGCAAATAACTGTCCAGTGAATGTTTGTGGTGATGCTTATCACATGGATTGTGACTGTAGACAGCAATGCAGAATGGAAAAAGTTCTCTTTCTAGAGAAAAGGCTCGGGAGGATCTTATCACTGTATATAAATATCTGAAGGGATGGTGTAAAGAAGATGGACCCAGGCTCTTTTCAGTGGTGCCGTGTGACAGAACGAGGCAACAGGCACAAACTGAGACACAGAAGGCTCTGTCTGAATAAAAGGGAATACTTTTTCACTAGGAGGGTGACCAAGCACTGGCAGAGGCAGCCCAGAGAGGTTGTGGAGTCTCCATCCTTTTAGATATCTAAAAGCCATCTGGACATAGTCCTGGGCTACTAGCTGTAGGTGGCCCTGCTTGAACACGGAGGTGGGACAAGACGACCTCCAAAGTTCCCTTCCAACCCCAACCATTTTGTGATTCTGTGATACTGAGGTGGTAGGTTTGAAGTTCTCTGCACCATTTCTAATGCATGACTGCAATGTTACCTGTTACTAGCACAGGCCAGCAATTTGATGTTGTGTATGTTTTTAAAAGGGTTTTTTTTGACACTCACAACATCCTAGGACATTTTCCCCCAGGTCATCAAAATACATGGTTGCTCAATCATAAAGCTTTCAGGTTAGACATTATTTCAGCAACTCAATGTAAATGTCACACACTGCTGAAGACATATTCCCATTCTTTGGCAAGAACACTGTGTAAGGCAAATAAGTTAACATGAAAAACAATGAAGCAAAACTGACAGCAGCATGATGCACTTATGTTTTTCATGTTTTACCCCCACAACTGCTTCCTCCAAGCCAAGGTAAATGGTGGACAGTTTGGAGGATGTGTACTCTGCCTTAGGAAAGAAACAAACAGACATAAGGGCAGATTAATAATGAAACAGCTAATGCATCCCTTGGGAAAGAGGTACCTTCTGTTATTTTATTTGACACATTTTCCTGAAATATCCCTTATTCCAAATACTCCAGAAGCTTCTGACTACAGACCTGTGGGCGAGGTGCGATCGACACGTTGCATCACTTTATAACTTATAGTATCCACAAAGGGCCAATATATCTGGCCAAATTTCCAGAGCTTATAGGATTTTCAAAAATATAAATAAAACGAACATGCAGAAATTTAAAGAGAACTTAATATATTGGTATTTATATGAGATTGATACCATGCTTTTCTGAACATTGTTCTAGGTTCCCACTGACATATTCAGGTATCTGAAACCTTTAAGCATCTGGGATAAGAGCTTGATTTTTCTTTCTTTCTTTCACCACAATTTTGCAATGGTTTCTGTGGTGTTGTATCAATATAAGAAATTGAGAGTTAAATCTCAGTAATTTCAAATGAATTGTGTTTCTTATTTGTAAAATAACCACATTAGTGAGACTACTGTTGTGTGCAGCAAATGCACATAGGACCATATAATCAACATCTAATTAGCCCCACTTCATGTTATATTTGCTTAATGTTAACTTTCTTAGAGCTATAATTTTTTCCTTTAACCATTATAGCAGCTGAATTTTAATTACATTACCAACAAAAAGCTCATTAACGTCACATAATTGGCTGCGTTTCCAAAAAAACCTGAACTAATTGAGTATTTTCTGAAGAGTTCCCATCAAAGTATAATTTAACCATTATAAACAGCTTGGCAACTACATTTACATAAAGATGTGTCTGAGGAATGTTCTCATGTGTGGAAAATCAGATTTGATATTGCCATTAACAAAACGAAGGAAGCTGTTACATAGCAAATCACTTCCACATTTTAATGATTTTGGCTAAACCCCATGTTTTTGTCAAGAGGGTCAAATGAAACCTCTTGCTTTTCCACAAAGAAGCAGCAATGATCTCTGACTGAGAGTTAGGAAGCAGCTTGCTTTGTGGGAAGGCTACTCCACAATCTTTTTCAGGTTATTTTATTTTGTACTCTCACTGGCTAATAGCAGAGATGAGATACTGTGTTAGACAGGCCATGGTTCTTACGCAGTAGGCTAACTCAGAATTTTTTAAACACATGACCAGAGAATCATTTCATGTACAATGGATCTCTTGCCAATTATCTTGTTGATATTCTTATATTATGACAGGACTTATTTAATTACTAATCAAAAGAATACAAGTATTCCAATCATTATTAGCCTCTAGCATTTTTAAAAGACTCCCTAAAATAGCTTCAGTGGAAACAAAGCAAAGAAAGCCTACATAATCCTTTGATCCTTCCCCTGCAGTCTGGGATGAATGACACTGAGATTAATTTGAATGCTGAGGTGATGATTAGAGATTAAAAACAGGCTAATATGGCTCTCATATTCTGAATACAGGGAGAAAAAACACTGAGATAAAATAGCTATCATGAATGTCCTGCTTTCATATTTAAACCTGAACACTGAGAGTTTTGCAGAATCAAGGTTTCAAGTAAGAGTTGAATAAAATTTGAACACAAAATTCAATATTCTCGATAATTATCCTAACTTCAGCTTTAAATATTGTGTGTTCCTATCCCTGCTTGGATTCTTTCCAAGAAATTGAAAATAATTTTTTAGAAACTGGTTCTTGTTAGGATGCTAATTAGGTACTTGCACTGCTTTCTTTGTCCTTTCCTGTTTTACAGTTGTAGTTAACAAATGCAAGCATATTCATCTGGCAGTGTGCCTTTGCAATGGACCACCTATCTTTGGATTGCAGAATGTAAGTTTAAGCAAGATGGCAATAAATGCACATGGCATTTTACATTCTGATTTTATTTTTTCTATCAAACAGGTGTTAAATGTGCCAAAACATGTATTAGCATAACATTTGCTAATATACAATATCAAAAGTGGATGTAAACATCAAATGTAAAACTTCAAAGTTCCTGTTATCAATTCACCTGAAAACTATATAACCTGGGCACTGTTATCATTGCATTCTCCCAGAGATGTATCAGATGCCTTAGCATGCTCTGAATAGCCTACTTATTCTGACAAAGAAAAACATTGTTTGAGGAAGTGGGTCATATGTGTATAGAGATGTTTGCTGGAAAGGCCTGGAATTCCATGGTTCTGATCAGTATACCACTGAAAAACAAAAAAGAAAAGCCATAAAACCCCTATGTTATGTTTTCAATTCTATAATAGTTAAACAATACAGGAACATTATTTTATTACCATATTGAAGAAAGCGGATGCCTCAAGAAAACAGAGGGACTTGCTAATCTTTTTTCTTTTCATCAGTTTCTGGTATGTTCATATTCTTGATGAAAAAAGGTTTCTAAACCTTCTGTAATCTAGGAGTAAGCGTTACTGCCTCAATACTAACAAGTCAGTTGTATCAAGTCAGGCAAAAGAGCTTTGAGATGCCCTTAGGGATGAAATGCCCCTGACATGCTGCATGGCCTTGGCAACAGGGGTCACAGTCTTGCTTAGGAGTACTGGGCTCTAAGCAACAAGCTTTCAGCTAAATGTTGCGGAATTCTGTTCAAAACATCCTGCGTTACAGCACAGCCATGAACATTATGGATGGTGTACTGCAAATAAAAGACACATATGAATTATGCTAACTCTTAGAAATAACTGACATTCCCCCATAGCTGAAGTAGAATGACTACAACTGCATACAGTATTCCAGATACTGGAGAAATAAACCAGGTTTGCTAAATATCAGTGAAGGAGGCAGAAAACGTGGAATACACAAAAGGGCCTATAAACCCCAAGTACAGGGGGATCCCTGTGTGATCCCTTTTTGGGGAGTTCATGGCCGTGGGCAAGTGGACTCAGACAGAAGGCCAGTATGTTTGATAGCAGGCAAACACTTTGGTCATTATCCCCGAGAAAAAAAGGTGCAGAAACAGAGCTTAGCATGTAATTCAGAACTACTTTTCCCCTGTTTATTCCTCATGTATATCCTCTAACCTCTTGCCTGTGTGTTTCTCTCTTTGCCTGCACCTGCTACCCCAGGAAAATTTTGCAGAGAACTTTTTTTTTTTTGATCCTGGATATAGTCTTGGATTCCTTATACCCTTTTTGCTTGTTTCAACTTGTGCCTGTGGCAGGCATGTCCAGTTCAAGACAGAATCCATCAGAACCAGTGATGGTTTTGGCCCCAGCAGCCAGCTCCTTCATCCTCTTCTCCTTTACTAGCTATCAGCAGCTTTCATAAGGAGGCTGGATTCTCATTCTTCTCCCTGGCTCATTTTAAAATATCCTCTAATATATTCTTGACAAGAGAGAAATCCTGCTAGCATCCAAAGGGCAAGAAGGAAAAAAACCAAAAAAGAGCAGGCAAATCCTTTCAGGAAGAAATTGTTTGTGAAGAGTAAAAAATGCACTAGCAATTTCCAGATTTTGAAGCATGTTCAGTTGAACTGGGTTCTTAAAAACATTGCCAAATGTCAGATAAGCTTATTGATAAAGGTATAAAACACTGTTCAGAATTAAAAATAGCCTGTTATTTACCATTGCCTGGAAATCCACTTGTGCATTAACCAGAGCTTTTGCGATTTGTGCTGAGTTCTGAAAATGTACATTATCTGAAAAAGAAAAAAAAAGAGATTGGCTGTTGAAACGTGTAAATACCACAAAGCATGAAGTTATAGTGCATTAAGTTGTGTCCACTAATTATCAAGTGATACAGTTGACATTACTAAGAATGAGTAAGCATCATGTCATATTGAAGTCTACCAAAGATCTAAGTCCTGACCCTAATCAAAGGCATAGAGAGATGCTTAATGTTTTTCAAACAAAGCGATTCTGGCTCTGTATTTGTACTGCCATTTGCAAACCTCACCATCTGCTGTTCCATGGATGAGAAGATACTCCACGTTTTGGAAATTCTTTGCTCTTGCCATCACAGTTGAATTCTGTTGAGAGGAAAAATGAACAGTTCAGCAGCTTCAATTTAAACCACTCAGTCACAGAGCTGAAAGGCTTTCATTACCTAGTAGAACAACAATCAAACAGTGGGACTGGCGTAATAATGACAGCAGCGACGTCGCATCAATATGAGATTATAATGGAAGCCATATAGATTTGGTGGCTTTTCTAAGGGCCAGTTCACAAAAAGCACAGCACTTGTTATGTGTCATTCCCTGAACACTATAATTCCTGGCTACCCAGACAGCTCTACCAGGGCAGTTTGGTATTGAGCATTTCTGTTCTTTGAGTTGGGATTGAGAGAATAGGTACTGAGAACATTATCCAAAATCTTTACTAGGAGTCCTTAAACTAACTTCTTTGGGCACTAATTCAGGCCTCCCTGTATCCAGAGCTGGTATGTGTGCTGCTAGAGGAAGCTACAGACTTCCTATCAATGTGAAGAAAAGAAGAAAGGCAACCTGTTCCAGGTAGGGGAAGCTGTTCTGACTGTTTAGTATGCTTATGATGCTATTCTCAGAGAGCTAAATTTGCGTGGAGCAGTTTGCATACCACAGCTAACGGTACCAACCAAAACCTTATAAACACCAACATTTTAACCTCTCTCACGAGTTCTTTCCTAGGCTGTCTGACTTGTCCAAGTGAGAAAATAAGCATCCTTCAATTTAGCATATTTAGGGCTGATAAATACAAAAACACAAGTAACTATGGAGATATGAATTTCACAGGAGTAGCTTAGCTGCTACAGCACTGCCACTATGAGAGCTGGCAGGTCATTTTCTGTCTTCACAGTTCTACTTGTCCATGGAAGCGTGATTCAAGTTTAAGGCAGATCAACAGGGAAACAGAATTCTCACCTTGTAGTGCTCAAGATTATCGGACTCTACAGGAAGACCCATAAATCGTTCTGTGTAGATAGATGCTGTGATATTAAAGAAGAAAAGATCTATAGGTAAAGAATGTACAGATATTTTTGTGCCTCCAGTGACACACAGCAAATTAAATGTTACTTATTTTAACTGGATCTGTTCTGCTTGGTTTCCTCATAATACACCAAATTTAAACTTATTTAAAAAAATCAACTACTAAATGCCCTCCAAACCATCCTTGCAGAAATAGTGGTTTGATACTCATCTGTGGAACCAACAGAGGGTTTTGTGGATAAAGGTAATTAACTGATACTGCTTTATGCTATTGGGTTGAACTCCAGAAGTCAGCTGAATGAGCCAATGAACCAGTAAAGGTGCTGGTGGAAAGATGACACAGACTATTTTTGACACCTTAAAAAGAGAAGCTGAGCAGAATTCCAACCTTGGATGTGTATGTGTGTATACAGTAAATATTTATATATATCCTGTCCTTTTCCTATTGAATGGATATATGCAGCAATTAGGGGGAGCAGGAAATGATACAGGCTTGCACTGAAGAAGCGGTGCAATTGCTGTTCAGATCTCTTCAATTCCTTTTTCTAACTAGAACAAAGACTGTTAGCAGATTTGACAAAACAAATGTAAATAACAGAACAGTATCTATCACCAAGAAATCAGTAGGAACAGCTATCTTTGAGCTGCCTGGGTATTTGTAATTTAACTAAGAGTTGTTAGGAAAATTTGTGGAAAACTGATGCAGCAGCTGTCACTACCAAAACATTACTTTCTTTATGACCTTGCCTTGAAAGAGTAACTGACACATATTGAGCGATTAAGCTGCAGTATTACAAGAATTTTATTTATTTAATGGAGTCAGGGCTTTGTGACGAAGAAGAGGTGGCATCTTACCCTTCCGTAAGAGAAGTGATGGCCATTGTAATCAGTAAGGAATTGGGATTGTCTACCTTGTTGTCCAGTTTGGTACACTGCATTAGAATAATTTTGTTAAAAAGTAAAAATGAGAATCCTCCCAGGAAAGAAAATTACTCAATGTTCTCATGTTCCCATGGTTTATTATGTATTCTTTACGTATGTTACCACTGAGTCCTAAAGATGTGTACTATCTCTCCCAGATCAGCCAAGTAATGTGTAATAAACTAAGTACCAAAAAAATCTAAGTAGCCTCTCTTTTATCAAAATCCTTTATCATTCAATGAAAACAGAAAATGTGCAATATCTGTTGTCAACACAGTGTCAAACAACCATATTGGGCTTAAGTTTTCAATAAAATAGACTCTTTCTGAATGGCTGGCATTTCTACAGTATTCTGAGCCAAATTCTACACTCTCTTCTACCAGTATAGCTACAACAAGTCCCCAGAGGTCAGCAGAATTGCATTATAATGACTAAGTGGAAGATTTGGCTTGTCAATTACTGAGGAAGAAAAAGGAGATAAATTGCAAATTTTAATAAAACAGTCACAGATCTAATGCTTTTAACTATACATTGTCCCCAAATGCAATTTCCCTTGCCATCTTATAACTGTTCAGCTGTTATTAATTCTGACACAAATTGGAGGTGAGTGGGAGGATTTCAGAGAAAAGATTATGGTCCAGACTCTAATCTGTGCATCTAAAAGAGGGTGGGACAGAATTTAGAAGCTTTAGGGGCCAGTATATCCTCTGACATACTGATACTACTTAGAGACTCAAATATGTAGCATCCTGTAGTTTTGTCCCTAACACAGCTGACCCTAATGTTAACATGATCTGTTTGCCAAAACTTATGACTCATGACTTCCTTCCGTTTCCTTCCTTCTTTCCTTAGTGGAGGTACATTTGCCTGTTTGGATTTTACAATGTGTTTTTAGCAAGATTCTTTAACTTCCTCCTGAAAATTCAGCTAAAGATTGCAATGGTGTGGGTCTAATCGACTTTAACTTAAAAACTTCATTCAATTTTTAATGCTTGGACAAATGTTTATAACTCTTGTTTTATTGAAGGACTTTTGCAAAAATAGTGCTTTATGCCTGCATTCTGGAAATAATTTTGTGATCATGAGTGAAAATATTGTAAAATTTCTTGATGCCAGTGAAAACATGAAGACTATGCTTCCTGTGTCATACAAATGTTTTCCCCTTTGTTTGCAAAACACCATAAATACAAGGAATGTCTGTGCTAGCAGTCAGGGAAGGAATCTTTTCCATTTAACCAAAATTTTTATCGTAACCAAGACTTCTTAGCAAACAACCATATGCTAAGTAAATGTGTTCAAAGTGCTACATTTTGCTTATTGAAAACATGCATGCCATGATACGTTTTTACACTAAGGTTCTTTTACACCATGCCAAAAGCTTAACAGGTCTGCAAGTATGAGTATGTGCCTGCTTTATTCACACAGTAAGGCCCTGGGAGTATACTCCTGGAGTTGTTTCCTCTGAACGGTTTGGAGCCTAAGTCAATAAACATAAAGAAAAATATGTCTCCTAACACAACAACACAGGAGATGTGGCTGAGAAACATCTAAAGGGAAAAATATTTAATTAAAAAAAAATATCAGACACAACTGACTCCCTCTTTTCCACTGCTTTTGGAAAATAACTTCGCAATCATGAGAGATACTGATTCCTGACAGAGATCATCTGCAGTATCTGAAGTTGAAGTGCACTGTGATTCCATTACTGGCAGAGAAATCATTTCAGCTGTTTCTGAATTCAGTGATACTGTTTTAACAGGATTTTTAGGGAGATCACTCCTGAGTATATAGCAGTTTATCAAGAGGGCTTTACACACTTACTGTTACAGATGTGCATATGGAATTATCTGGGCGTACCTTCTTCTATGTGACAAAGTGCGTCCCATACTGCCAGTTGCAGTCAGTTATTTTCAGCAAGAAAAACAATAAACTTAAGGTCTTAAGAGTTTTATGTCTAGGTAATTGCAATGTCTTTAAGTTTCACATTGCCAGTCTCCTGCAATGATTTCATTTACAAAGTCAGTAAATGCTACATCTTGCTTTCCAAGTCAGTATTTATGACAAGTTTCCATACCGTAATACTCCCAGCTGGAAACAGGAGCTACAGCCATTCCACATTTAAATACTCCACTGCCAGATCCAAGTGCCAAAGAAGTTACGTACCCACCATAGGACTAGGGAGAAATCACAGACAGTTTAAAGTTATTAGTGGAGTATTATTTTGTTTTCTGAATCAAACTCATATAAATTAGTTCCAAAGTAAATATTTGAACACATGGAAGACAAAGCAACAAAAGCTATTTAATTTTTTTATTAATTTATTTATTTCAAATGGATCTGATGTAATTTTTTGTGATAGAGATTAGACAATTTTATTGAATCACTTCTTTTTTGCTACTTCTTCAGTGCTTATCACAGGATACTGCTCTTACTACCACTTAGAATCATAGAAAAAATTAAGTTGGTAGGGTCCTTCAAGGTAATCTAGTACAACCTCTATCTCAAAACAGGGCTAACTTCATATTTAAATGAGGTCAATCAGAGTCATATCCACACTATACAGCCTCTCTACTCAATCTGTTTCAACGCTGATCACTGTTGCTGTAAAATTTTTTTCCTAAAACCTAAACAAAACTTCCCTTGTGGCAACTTGTGTTCATTGCCTCTCATCCTTTCGGTGTGCACCTCCAAGAAGAGTTACAGGTTTTTCCCTCCCTTAACAATCTGTCTACCTTTTGCTAATGACTGGCATATTGAACCAACCCCATCATCAGTACTAATAGGCTCAGCTACTTGAGAACTTGAGGTTGGAGAAATTCCTCCCTACTGTTTGCCACTGTTCCTGTTATTTTCTGGCCTGGTTCCTCAAACTGGGATCCAGCAAGGAAGAATAAGTTCATGGAAGTTAGGTAAAGTAGTAAGTAAGCCTGCATATCAGAAGAGAGCTGTGCAACTGTGTGGGGCTAGTTGCTGAGAAAGGAAAATACTGTAAATAAAAAGCATTTGGTTTGGCTGTCCATAGGATGTGGAACTGGGATTGGAAAATAGCTGCATAAGGTCCTTGGGAAATAATGGGTTACTGTTTACTTTGGAACGGAGGGAGGAATAAAAATATGGGGTGTGTCATGAAGAATTCTGAAGATTATCAACCTCATCAGCAGCACATGAAAGACTAAGGGAAATAAGCAAAATTATTAAATATTTTGTTGTACAAAAGTAAGTTAGTCCATCCCTCCTCTTGACATGCCAGCTTGAAATTACAGTGAGGGATATGCTAATGGAACTAGTAATTAGTACAGTTTTTCCAGCTCATTTGATTGGCTTATTTGATCTTTTAAAAAATCAGTCCACAAGGCTAAAAAGTAAAGGATTAGGAACAGGCAGATAAATGTATGCACTGTAAAAGGCAGATAGATAGAGTTCAAAATCCTGAATTGCTTTAGTGGTTATTTAAGAGCTTTTGCCATCCAGAAGAGTTTGGTGAGTCTGAAATTACAATGAGCTACATCATTCATGCATACCTGCCAAGCCGCAGGCTATAAATAAGGAGACACCTTTCAACTCCTTTCAAAAGTTGTGGACCAGGAAATGGTATAATAAATAGAAAAAAATGGAAAAAAAGACTGACAGGTTTGGCAATAGTGCCGTTATTTGAATATTATATCCACTACTGGGATACAATGCTTTAGATGTGTGAAATCTCTTAATTGGTTCTGGAAACACTGTGGTGAAATAAAATATGATGTGATTAAAAAAAAAAATATTTTCATGTGGCCTTAACTTAATGTCACTTTAGAATTACTCACTTGTAAGTGTCTGTGTCACTTAATTTCAGCATATTGTACCCCATTTTATCCTGGTGTTTTAGCAGTGTCTGACCAAAGTAATTTAAATATTAGTTGGTAAAAGCTTCATAGAAAGATTTTAGCAACCCTGCTCATGTGCTATCTAAGATCAGGCAACTTCTGTAGTTACAGTTGAACTGAATCTTACAAGATTGATCCTCTACTGTGTTTCTGGGCAAGCCTCTTACAATGAAACTGGGCCAATGAAAACAAACAAACAAACAAAAACCAGCAAAAAATTAAACAAAACAGTGACAGATCAGAAGAATTCTCCTGGCAAAGACAGGCAGTTAAAGAAAATGAAATAAAAGGTCTTTGTGAATGATCATGAGAGAAAAATGAACACGTATAAAGAGAAAAATATTGAAAAATGTTAATGAGTGGCTAACATACTAGTTTATTCTGTAAGCTTTTTTAGTTAGTGCTGCCTGTTATCGCTGGATAGCTGATACCGATTTACTCAGAGAAGGAGTAAGGGTGGCTAACATGGGTCTGGCCTCCAACCCCCTTTAGCATTCCTTACAGTACTGTCCCTAATCCATGAGACCCTCAGGTGTTGCTTAGCAGCTTATTCTCCTGCATATTATAATTCTGTTATGCTGACGATGGGTAGGAGGCAGGGCTCCAGTTCTGTCTATGCATTCTTGATCCAGCCATTCATGATGAACATGAGCAATCAAGTCAGATGGCCTAAACATCTTAAAAATCTCTATAAAGGGGCTGTGTGGCATTTGTGCTGCCACTGAAGTGGCTTCAGGTCTCCCACAACACCACTAATAGGTCTGCATCTTATTTCCATGAATGGTCCTACTTTGAAGCACAGGAAGAAGAACCCCAACTATACAAATAACTTCTTTTTCTCCTATTAGAATGCAGTGCTATCCTAAAATTTGTACTTGAGGTATGCTACTCTGTTTCTCAGTGCCTAAGGGGAGTGGAATCTGGCCATTTAATAATAAATACTTGCAATACATCTGGCTATAGAAGGTTCTGGGATTGTTACAAAGCAAGTACATGAAAAAATAAAAGATGAAAACCAGACTGGCTAATTATTTGGAATGACTCCTATACTATCCAATTTTTCCACTTGGTGAAGTTGTCAGTGTTGTACACCCCTCAGACCCAGATTCATCCCTGCTGACCATTTCAAAGCCAACCAAGTATACAGTGATTCAGAACAATGCAAGGGTCACATTTGCTGATGAGAGGTATTCACAGGACTTTTCTCATTATTTTAATCTCAGATCAGAAAGGACAATACTTGAATTTTGACACCATGCCAGTAAGTCCCTAAGGTGAAAGTGAAGCCAATTAAAACGTCTCTGTTTTGCTTAACTTCAAGTCCAAACAATGTATTAGACATAAGCTTTTCAAAATTCCCTCTTGAGCTGCCAAAGATCCCTTTTTGGGGACTTGCACCATTCCAATTGCATGTATATAGGCACCAACAGGAACCATCCCCTTTGGCAATACCTTCAACCACTGGCAGAAGAAACTTTATACAGATTTAGGACAGAATAAGGAAAAATTAAAAACATTATACTGCAGCATTATTTATAGATTCAAAAAACCCAGTCACTTACCCAGCCCCATATTGCTATTCGTTTCTCATCAATAAAGCCCATTTCTATAAATTTCCTGTGGAAAAGAAAATCACAGAAATAAATGCATTATTACAAAAGATTGCTAATACTATAATAAATCAGCAAAAAATGATTTTTCTTTCACTTTTTTCCATGCATCCCACCAATTTGAGCAAATTGACAATCAGCATAGCATGTCTAATTTTTACAAAGCATCAATTGTTCAATTAATAGATATTTAAGAGGAAAAGGAAGAATTTTTCTTGAAAGAATGAAAAATGCTGAAATCAATACTTTCTTCAGAATAATTTTTGCTCCAGTGGATGAGAACTCTGCCCAACTGGCTTCTTGGCAAAACCACTCTTTTTTCTTAGACTTAGAATCCACCTGGATATTTAGTCCAGACTAGATTAAACATCATACATTATACTCATGTTGTACATTTGCGCATATATGTATGTGTGTGTATCTGTGTGTACAGACATACACTCACACACATGCAGAGAAAGAAGTTCAAAATGTGTACTCCTACTAATAAGCACACTTCATTTCTCATAGCTGTACCTTCCCACAAGCTATTATCGTTTTCATCATTTTAATGCCAAAGGTGCTGGATTACTGTTAACACTCAGACCTTATCCTGCAAGGTGCTCAACATACTCATCTTACAAGAAGTTGATACTCTGATCTCTCAAGAGAAACAGTATCAACCTCTGAGATCAGGGATTCCCTGGAGGAATAAGCTTTCTTTTTTATGTGCCTGAAATGTGAAGAGCACCTACTGCTATTATAATAAAAAATAATAATGAGGGAAACATCTTCTAATGCTCCAAGTAGGTAATGAGCTTGCACTGGATGAAAACTGCACCTTGCTTATGCACTCAGCAGTCAAACAGGTCAAAGAGAATCAGAGAATCAAAAATATTAGGTCTCCTACAAAAATCCTGCATCAGAGTCTGAAGGCTGTATTTCCAGAACTGTATTAGCAACAGCAAAGAAAAGGAGATGAGGCGAAAGACCGCAAAAGTTCAAGAGTGACAGAAAAACAAAATAGGTTCAGATACATCCCAGGACACATATCATCAGCTGCTAGCCTTATTTTACTGGACAAGCACAAGTGACTGACAACACCCAAAATGTGGGATACTATCTGGGTGGGACAAAGTTAGAAAAGCCAAAAAATGATTCAGCTTTGTTATATTGCTGTCTTAATCCCTGGCGTTCCTCCTACAGTAAAAGCCCCTCCAAGAACTTCCCACTAGAGTATAGGATCCTCTTTAAAAATCATGCATCTTAAACCATGTGTTAGATCAGGAAGATGGAATGCAATACATTTAACCGAATAAAAATTTAGTCTAGGTGCTGACAGAAAACTGGGAAGTGTGAAGTCTGAGGTCATTTCTTCAGAGCCTGTCTCAGCAGATTTTGCAACTGCAGAATCAGTTTAGGTTCCCTGTGTCTCTGACATTTTATATCTGAGCGACGATTCAGAGTAATAAAAACCCATTCTCTCTCTTGTGATATTTTAAAGTATACCATTGCTGCTAAAAGTTCCAAGAAAGAAAATCAAATAATAGATTAATAGAAAAACCTGACATGATACACAGCTTTTCTGTTTCATTTATGACTGAAAAGGATAATGGTGTGTTTACGTAATTGAGGAGGAAATGAATTATCACAAAGCAGAAAGAGGAGGGAACAGATACCCTCCTCACACACACTTGTAGATACAGGCAGTGTTCTCAAACAAGTCGAGAAAGCTTGTGGAAACCTGGACAGCTACATCCAATTTCTAGCTAAGCTACTCAGAGTTATGTCTATTACTGGGGGAAAGAGGGTATTTACTATTGCACCTGGAAATCTGTCCAGGCTCTGATGGGCCAAATTCCAGACCAAAGGCAGACTAAATTCCTTATTCCTGCCTTGCACTCATCTCCATGGGGTTCAAACTAAAACTTCTTTAAATGCTCCCTTTAGCAGTGCTACTGCATCTCTAAGCTTAACAGGCAGCCTTTCTTTACAAAACCTCAGCTTTTACTCCCTCCCAAAACCTCTGCTTAGAGAATTATTTTCCCTTGGAACATTTTAAGTGTTTCAATGCAAAGGAGCAACTGTTGGGGAACAACTACCAGAGGACCTCAGACACTTTCTGTTTTTCGTTAACTACCCTGAAATAGCATGGAAGGCAAGTTTATGACTAACTGACCTCTGGAAGGCTTGTGTCAGGATTCAGTTTTGCTACAAACGTCACATTTGACCTTCATCTAATCACTGTGGTACATCACTATGGATCTTTGGCTAATCGCTATGGTCACTGAGATAGGTTTCCCCTACAGGGAAAACTTGAGAATAACGGATAATACATTGGCTTACCTCTCACCACTGACACTTGTATTTCCTTAGGCCTAGGATTGAAGCCTCTGATGATGCTTTTATAAAATGAAGTGTTGAGGTCCAAATGTGGACTTAGTAGTACATGGACTTAATATACCACACAAAACCTTGCTGACATCAAGCACCTCAGTAATATTTTATTTCTACAAGTCTTCTTGTCTTATTTCCTGGAGATCTCAGCTCTCCAGAAGAAAGGCTGAGAAATACATTTAATATTTTATTTTTTTCACATTACTTCTTGTAGGTATGTAAATACAACAGTTATACAGGGAGATATTCTACTTACTTCACTGCTGAGATTTGGTCCTCAACTTCATAGACTCCTAGTCTTCGATATACTGCATGCAAAATCTTGTCACCTTGATAAGCTGTCCCTCTGCCATCCACTAGAGCAACAATAATTCCCTCTTTGCTTGCAAGATAGGTTATCCAGCTAATGCTGAATGTTTCCTTTACATTCTGACTGCAAGGTCCTCCGTACCTGATGATGAAAATTCACACATTTTCAACTCATATTTATAAATTTATAAATGATTACCAGATACTAGACTATAGGGTACTTCTTACATTTTCTCCAGAAGTGTTTTGCTATTATGGCTGTGGTTCAGAGAGCTCAGTAGACAAACAGTTCAACTATCATTTTCATGTATTTGTGAGATTTTGCGATCTAAAATCCATTTTAATCCTTTAGGTCTTATGCCTAAGGCAAATCATTAGTTTTAGCTCAGACTAAGGGATGCAGCATCAAGTACTTGTCCTAAGGGGAATCCTTGGAAGAGTCATGCCTCAAAGACTCAATCTCTCTCCAAATTCCTTAGGTGTAACAGCCCTTTTTGGCGCTTTTCTGCTTTCTGCATTTGATCCCCACATGCAGTCAGCAATGCAAAAAAAAACCAGGAGAAGAAAGTACAGCTCCTTACACTTTCTGGCCATCCCGAGACCTTCTTTGTTTCAGTAGGGAATATCATGTGCTGTTGGAGATGTGGGCAGAACACAGCCCACATAACTGAGCAGTACAGAGAAACACTCCTCATGAGAATGGCCTAATGCAAATTACACATTTGACCTCAAGGACACAACTGACTTAATCTTCTACTCTAAACTTCAAACATACTTAGCATTCTTGGACCGTTGGATCATCACTGGATAATAAAAAATTATGTAAGATTTATTACACCCACTCAGGTCTCCTTTCTGCCTCTCATTTTTTTCTGCACCACTGCCATTTTTGTTGCCTTTCCCGCCTGCAATAAATTAAATTCATGGCAAATGCTCTTTAAAAGGAACATTTGATCAAAGAAGCCAGTCAACATGGTTTAGGGGTGTTTGGGTTTCTTTCTTAAAAAATGAAGCAGCCTCTTATATTTCTCATATTAGCAAAGCTCAAATCAGTAATTTCAGACTGTCTCATAACAAACAGAAGCAGCAACGGAGCTAAGAACTCCAAGCAATATCCCACATGTTTTTATCCTTCTTATTTCTCTGAGGAACTAATTGTTGTCATGCTAAGATTAATATTAAAAACCTCACTGTTTTCCATTGGGTTGAATTTCTATTCCAGAAATACATTAAAAAACCCACCACAACAAACAAAACAGAACAAACTGGTTTTGCTTTTGCTTCATAAAATGTTGCAAATGTCCTAGGTTTTGTTAAATTATAAGAAGTATGTTTTCTGACAAAACAACATTGTTCAAAGAAAGGAAGTGTTACATACACCTGAATAAGCAGAGGGTACTTCTTGGATCTATCAAACTGTGGGGGTAGAAGCATTTTGTACCACAAAGCTAGAAAAGACATATTAAAATAATATTGTTAATGATTAAAATGATTCCTCCAAGCATAATCCAGAATTTGGTGTAATAGTATATGAAAATGAATCAGCACAAACTACACAATGCATGAACTGTGTGTGAATCACAGAACTGATGCAAGTAACTGTTTATATTGAGCTGTTGAAGAATAACTTTGAAGAAATGAAGTGCCCACTTTTATTTTAATTTAGCTATGCATAAAACTATTATGTCACATAACTGAATGTTCTCATTTTTCCATGTGCCTAAAAAAACACAACTAGGAATATAACTATTGTTAAGATTATGAGAAATGAGTGTTGGAAACTTTATGCTGATTCATTACCATGGAATATTGTTTGTAAAGTCACTAGTGAAAACAACAGTGTATGCAAGTCAATATAACGTGTAACACATGAGCAGCAGTTTACATTTCACATTTTATTACCACCATACTATAATGTTTTTATATGAAATTTAAGCACTTTACCAATAGTGTTAAAGAACTCAAAAAAATTGCATTGTGAAACAGAGATGTATTTTAACTACTGTTTTACTGAGAGATACCCTGAGGTGCAGACAACTTGTCAAACAGGGCAGAACCAGGCCTCTTCTTCCCAGACAGGCTAACAAGTTTGTTCTACAGAAAGACAAAACTTACTATAACAAAATGAAGGCAAAATATTAAAATAGTAGGAATAAAAAGTATAATAAAGATGTGTAATTCTTACTTATACCATCCACTTCAAGTTTACTAATTTCTTCTTTTGGCAGTTTGATCTCTTGCAAAGCAGACTGCAATTCCAAATTGTCTTCCAATACTCTGAGCTCTAAGTAAAAGAAATGCCTGAATTATTAATTAATTTACTGTTAATTCCTCTTCATTAATTGATATTCCTTTATTTTGTGTTATTAGAACAGAAAGCAAATCTGTGAAATTTTAGAAGCAGAGTAATGAAATCAACTCAGACATTTCTAATTGGGCTTGATCACATAGCTAAATAAAAGTAAGGCACTGGCATTATAGTGCACAAATTTTCATTAGATTTTTATAGGATGTACGTTTTGCAATGCAAATCATTTCACATATTGCCCCGAGTGTTAGAGTCCCACACGTTATGAAGAAACTCCTTTCTGCTGCAGGGCCCTCATCCCAGTTTTGTAGTATGGTGGGAGCTGGAAATGCAAAATTCATCCCATCCAGCAAAACACAGTCTTGTATCTCCTCTCTTGCTTGCCACAGTAACATCAGTTTAACCTCTGAGACCCTTGGGCAGTGTGGTTAAGCGCACAGATGTTTGGGAAGATCTTGTTTCTGGGCTCATGCAGGAAATCCAGTTCCTTAAGGGGTTCTGGCAAACTCTTGTTTAACCACTGTACAGTATAGTCCTACACAAAGATACTAGACTTACCATATAACTGTCATTAGTAATATATTACTGCACTTTGTGAACCTCTTTTGTTGTTTTTTTAATCTAAAAAGTATTTTAAATTTTTGTTTTACTTGCTTTAGACCCAATTTACAGTTATATAACTTAAAAATTACTATGTAAAATTTAGTTAATTTCCAGCATAGACTGCAGAACTATATATTATGAATATTATATATTACTGAGTATTACTTGTTTATTTATGTGTTTTCCCATGAGGAGTGATGGATGAAGAATATTGTACATAATGGAAATATGTGACTTTTAGCTTCAATTTCAAAACAAAAGAACCTTTTAAAACTGCAGGAGATTTTTCTTTGTTAGTTTACTTTTTTTTTGTTTTTTAATGGCAACCACCTCCTGTTTTTGGAAATGCTCAAAAAAATACAAGTACTTCTCTTGGCATGTCTTGAGCTAGATAGTGCTCAGGACATGCCAGAAATATAACACTGGAATTTGTTCTTTCAAAGTATTCTTGACAAGTTTTGCAGATTCAAGTGGGTTTTTATGGCTGAAAGATCATCCTAGCTTTGGATACTCACGCAATCTCAGCTGAACCTTTTCCACCCTTCTCTTCAAGACTCCTGAAACTTGCCCATTACCACAAATGAATTGTAGGCATGCTGAAAGGAGCTTCCAAGTTGGTGTATGTTAGTTTAACTGCATGCCTCCTACTAAAATTCGTGGGTGATATATTTTCAAAATGCTGCTGACTGCAATGAAAATGGTTCTACTAAAAATAGTTTGGCACCACAGAAGAGATTATAACATCATGGGACTTAAGGAAAATTAATGCAAAAAAGGTCATAAAAAGTCAAAAAGAAGACTGAATTTGGTTTTATTCCTGAAGAATAATAGCAGAATAGAGTGAGGCATCATGAAACCAGTGAAGATCCATTAAACAAAACTGTTCTCTCCTGCAGAGAGGTTAAGAAATGCATATTTGTAGTTGGGCACTTCGCTGCATTTCATGCAATTCATACTTTGATAAGGAAGTAGTAGGGACCTTGATACACATGGTCATAATGAATCATGGAAAACAGAGAGCTATGACAATGGATTAAATATGAAAAAGTCCATGCATTAGCTGTATTTAAGCCTTTAAATCTATTTAAACCTTCTGCAAAAGGAATACCAGAACACTGTTTTTATAGGACAATTGCAATAGACACGTCGACCAATCTTTTCAATATGCAAACATTTTTGAGTGGTTAAAAACTAAGATGTACCAACTCCTATTGGAGTCAAAATCATCTTATGTTGCAATTCATTTGACTTCTACATGAAACACCACTGATTAATTTAGCTTAACAATATTGCAGCATTTATCTTCATGTTTTTATGTGTCTTCTGGTCACACAACACTCAGTTAATAGTGGGTTATCAATATGGGCCAAACTGTAAGGACCCTGGCATTAGAACTATCATTGCATTTCCACTGATTATTGGGGAAGGAAGGGGGAATGCCAAATCACCAAAGTTTTTTACAGGACCATGACAGTTTTCACAACATTTCAGGACTGAGGGCTTTAAGTTGGAGATTAATTTTTAGGGAAAAACAAGGGACAGAGAGAAAAAACTCACTGCAGAGTAATTAATATTTTCGTGGTAGCAAACTCCTGCTTGGCCTGGTTGCAAACAGTCCTTACTAACAGGGTACTTAAAGAATGAGGGCTCTGAATGTTTCTTGCCAGAGTCTCCATTTTGTATCAATAATTACACCTTGTCTGAAGCAGTTATTTGAACTGCTCATCTGAAAGAGCTTCTGCTTTTCCCTGACATCTCTACCAATGGTCGAAGAGCAAGTCACTGATCCACATTCGAATCAGTACAGTACAATAGCTCAAACTGCAAACTCTAAAAAGTACACTGTTTCCTTTTGTATAGGGTAGGGTTGCTTCATGAAAAATCTCAGAAAGTCTTGCATTCATCCAAATGTGAAAAGGAATAGTTTGGAAATCACAATAATGTTTTCTACAAAGTTTGACTCAGTATTTGGGAGACAAAAGAGTTGCCAATGTTCATTGCATCTATAGTGTGTAAACAGGAAAAACAAGAGGATGCTATAAAAGTGCTGGACTCAGGAATGAAAATAAAGGCATCAGGGTGTTCATTGATATTTGGATTTTACTAATTAACAAATCTAGAAAGACACTAAATATTTTAATAACAAACAAGATGAAAGGCTTCTTGATCACAATCCTAAATACTGTATTAGAGGATCTGCATAGTGAAAATCAATGAGAAAAACAATTGCTTAGAAATAAGCAGAATATTTGCAGTACCTCTATCACCGTGGTTCTCAAAAAGAGTAGAAATGGGAATCCCGGGACCTATCATGAGAATGATAAGAAGGCAGTTTACAGTTTGAAGCTGAAATTTGATGATGGAGTGTACTGTGTTAACATCGGTAACTGACAGATGTTAAAGAGCTCAAAGTTGATACACAAATCTGAATCTTCTCTGCTGTATAACGCACTACTCCCTACTGCACGAAATACATAAGGTACTGTGTGCATCGACTTGTATACTTATAAGCATTCCTTAGCAAACATAATAGAAGCAACTTTAAATCTACTAACAAACTCTTCCTCCCTAGAGACGAAGTGACATCTAGTTAATACCTGAGATGTGATTACATAAGGTGAATGCAGAATTAACAATGTGAAACATTCTTCTGAGAACATGTCACATCATATTTGTGAAGGTGAGCAGCTTTCATGTGGTGATGACCTTACTGACTGTTTTGTGCAAGAATGATTGAACGGTGTTATGATTTGCTACATTTGCTTCTCTGCTCAGCGGAAGTTCTAAGGAACTCTTCAGCTGATCAGTCAGTGCAGAATCAGAACAGTAAACTTTATATGAAATACGCAAAAGGAAAACCTTGGATATTTTTCTTTCCTTTTTTTAGATTATGACTTCACTGTTTGTTGCTTACACCAATGGATGAAACCTCAGAACACTAAAATCACCATAACTTATTTTAGCAGAGCTGAGACTTCATCTAATACTTCTGTTACAAGTGGTTTCAGTGATCATACAACTCGATGAAGTTAATTTTTCTTAGTTCAGTTATTAAAAATGTTCTCAGGTAGTCAATACCCAACATTTTGTGGCTATCACAGGTTTTAATAATTTCAATTGGGAAACACATTGTAATAGTTTCTCATAGTTAACTTTGATCAAATGAACTGGAAATCAGTGTGCGTTTCTAAATCCTGCTCTTGCTGCTGCAAGAAAAAGCATGACTTTGACAAGCCAGATTAGAATCTGTTTTGTGCCATGAAGGACTTTCACAAACTTGTTTTTAATTCTAAAAATCCCAAGATTTTTGCTAAAAAGTAAAAAAAAAACATAGAGTGAAAATATTTGTCTTTTCTGAAACATTTTCCCAAGGTTTTTGGACATGGAAAAGTTTCTTTCTGGAAATCTCTCCTGGTTATTAAGAAATTTCTATGATTCATCTAGCTATCGTTTGGGATTATCAATTATTATCTACGCCTCTGATAAATTTGAAAGAACAACTGGTTATATGTTTGCTCCCATGCTATACATACCATAACAGATCAAGGCATAATACTTAGAATGTTCACTGAACCTTGCTGTATAATACTGGCATCTCTCTTTCCTTAAATTGCAAGTAATGCATTGTTTTCTGATAGGTTTACTTCCAATACTGATTCTAGGAGAGAAACATAAATAAAGCAGTATTTATTTTGCTACAACTAACTTCACATGTGTCTGCCTCATATTCTAGAACATAGGCACTGTACTTCCAGGATGGTTCCATTTTAAAAATAAATGTTTTCCCTTTTTATCAATTTTTTTCCCCAAGAGTATATTTAAACTTTAGATACTATTTCTCCTCAGTTCTCAGATATAATCTGAGGTCAAGATTTAGTTAAAATAGCTTTTGAAATTACAATTTAAACATCTTGAAACTAAATTATTTTACTGACAAATCCAGACCTATCTTCTATCAATGTAGTATCATTAAGATAATGTTGATAACACTTACTTGTAAATATTCCTTCTTCCTGGATAGCCTTCAAATTCATTGCTTGAATAGAAACTGTAAATTCATTTATATGTTAATAAATAAACCATGAAGTGATGACCTATGAATCAGCATCAAGATGAAAAGCCATCTTGGAAGTTAACTTAGACTTTTTGAGATTTCTGCATGTGATAGAAGAGTAAGTTAAGCTTATATACCTTCCATCTTAATAAATCTTTGCTCAAACTTTGATTAGATGACAAATAAACCATATAAATAGGAGTTCTATCTCAATTCTCATGAGCTAATCACTCCAATTATGTAAGCTGTATCTATCTATATAGTAACCCGAATGAGAGACCATAAAAAGAGACAACTGAAGTAACTGCAAATTGTATGAGGGTTAACCACATGCCTAAATTTAAGTATTTCTAAATAAGTCTCTCTAAGATGGGTGATTGAAAATAAATAGAAAAATTAGGGCAATTTGCAAAGAATCTCCCATACGTAAACCAAGTTTGCAAATCTGTGCAGTGCCTTTGCATACAAATTTGCTGTGGATGCATTCAGATACAAAACAAATTATACCTAGTTATAACTTGATGAGTTAACAAATGGTGTTCCAATGATTAAGTGTTGCTTTTACTGACAACACTCACAACCTGTTCTCTTCTTCATGACACTTACATTGCATCATTTGTTACTCTGAAAATGTATATTGCCTCCCATTCTCCACTTGTAATTTGGATTGCATTCTCCTGTGAAGCAAGACATATACATTACTGAATATTGTAGAATTATTTCAGGAACTTATAGTAGATCAATGTGGAACACTTTGCTTGACTTACCACAGAGCCATTGATGTAATGAATATGCTTATACCCATTTTTATCACTAAAAATTTTGTAGTATGAACTGCCATCTGATGTAAAATATGGTGCAGAAACAAAGAACTGAAACAATGGAAGAAAAATGGTAGATGAGACATAAGTAAGAGTGTCTAAGCTGTTTAGAAGATTGTAGTACACATACTAAAAGTAACAAGACTATTTAATCAGTTCAGATGGGACAAACTACTTTGCACATACGTTTACCTGTGATATTCAATCTCCCAGTGAGTACACATTACAATTTCTAACCTGTCATGTCAGATTTCTCAAGCTGATGATATAGATAAGTATCCCACAAATGCAAGCTCCCTACTTGTAAGTGGAATACTTTGGGTTTATATTCTGAATGAACTTTCTTTAGTTATTTAAAAATAGGTAGGTTGATTTTTAAATAATAAGTTTCTGAATAAAGCTAATGTTCATGAATGGTGCCAGACTGAAAAATCCTGTGGACCACAGAGTTTGGCTGATTCTCTGAGCAAATACAGCACTAAGCAAATGCATATTTCAAGTCTCCCATACTACCCCAATAATGTTAAAGAACAGATTATCCCGCTTAAGACCATTCAACATTTGCTTCCTTTCAAACCATCACCTCTTTACTAAAATTGTCAGTCAAAGATGAGTTACTGCAACTGTGCATTTTATTTCAATATATGAACACAGAAGAATGACCTGCAAGCACTTCAAACATAGCGCCAAACATTCCTGAGTGAGTATGACTTTTGAATAATACTAACCCAAGCTTGACTAGAACCTGTGACCAGAAGCTAAATTGTTCTGGAGCCTGCTTCTAATATTCCTAATCCTTGAAATACTGTAAAGGCTAAAGCAGGGATTTATGCATGTGTACAGTTTCTTTAGTTCTAAGAAAAACCTGTCATCACAACCTCAAGAGAAGTGATGAAGAAAGGAAGTGACCAAGTAAAATAACTAATCCTTGTAAATGTGTAATCTTCACTTCAAATAAAAACACCTCTCTTAAAGGACAGTGTACTGAAAATCAAAACTCTCAGTTAAGTTCACTACAGGATATTCAGGCACAGTGTGAGGTTCACCTGCCTGAGGAGTAAACATAAGCAATAATACATATTGGAAGTTAGAATATATGATTGTATGATTGTAAATACTGATCTCATGCTCTTAGAATTTCCTTGCAGGTTTGTTTTTGCTGGGAGTTCCCAAAGACAGGTGCTACGTCTCTTCCAAGATAAAGGTTACTGGATAGAGAAAATTCCTTTTGCATAGGGGTAACTGCAGAGAAGTATTAACTACCCTTGTAAGTGGGTGTCTTCCCTTGAAGGCTGCTCCCTAGCTGAAGATGTGTGGCACTTGGCACTAAAACTTTGTTCTGAATGGACAAGTTTTATTCTTAAAATGCTATGGTATGACTGATCTTATCTCTTGCCCTAGTGACATCAGAGGAATTTTACATCTATTCTTTGCCTCCAGAATGCTTCTAAGAATTACACTGCAGTATGAATCTACTTCTTTTCATGACTTCCCTCCCTTCAGTATAGTGTCTAATCAATTGGTCTAAGATTTGCAAAATGAGACAGAAAAACATTTTTGTAACTCAGAAAGCAGGTAGCCAGATACTATGCCTAACACAGCATTAAAAGTCTCAATCCTACAGTGCAACAGGTTTAAGTAGTAATGTTGTATGACTCAGAATCGTGCTTCGTATTCAAAACATTGCTGTGAAGATGCAGAAAGCTGTAGCTTTTTCGTTAAATCAAGATAGGGTACAACAAGAAAACCTACTCCGCCTGCCCATCCTGTTTGACTCTCTTCTATGTGCTGTTGATTCTGAAAAACAAAATCAAATGTACACTCTTTAAGAAGTTCAAGAATGAGTTTATGGAGATTGAAAATCTTCAAAGAAAAAATCTGTAGCTGCCTGTAAAAGAGAATTTTAGAATACTTGCTGTGAAGGTTCAGGGACTTGAAGTTTGTCTGAGGTAAGTAATATGACTGTATTAATACCATTATGTTGGTTAAAATATTATTTTTTAACAGCTGTCATCAAAGCTAAATAAAATCTCAAGTAATTGTTTTAACCTTATGCAACATTTTCACTGAAAGCAAGAATCAACAACTACTTAGTCTCATGAATTTTTCAGTTAAAAAACCAAGTAAAATAGTTTCATGAATACTAATATTAAAAATCTGTATTAGATTCTCAGCTGGTTCATTTGACATATTTCATTTCAGAGCTGTGATGTTGATTTATAACAATGGATAACGTGACTACTAGGTACTTCTTTTAAATGTAAACCTTGAAAATCTTAAAAATACAAGCCAAATACTTTAACTAAGTACATAGAAATCAAGGGTCTCCACATTTGGTCCTCAGCTTAGAGATATCAAAGGGCCTGATTTTCAAGACTTCAAAAAAAATCTCACAATATATTTAGAAAGAAGAATTAAGGATTGGCAAACATAATGCAGGCAGCAGAAATCACCCAGATTATCATATCCTGTGACTATGAATATAAGTTTAGAATGTCTTAACTCCTTGTAACATTCTTAAAGCTGATTTTAAAAATAACTTAAAGTGATCATAAATGGATCGGTACCTCCTGCAGCTAAAGGTGCTTTTACATTTTTATTTATGTTTTACTTATAAAGTTTCTAGTGCATTTTTAATACTTTCCTAAGACTTCGTCATTGAAGAGTGTAGTATCTTGCTTGCTGGGTGGAGCAAGTGATTTAATATTTAACAATTCTGCATTCAGTCAATATATTTCTTTTTTTATCTTGCAAACTTTTCTTTATACTGTTCATTAATACAGTATTTATTTACAGTCTGAAATAAATTTCAGCAAATTTGCTTTCTAAATTTTTTTTTTGTATTTGTTATCCTCAACATAATCTCATTAGCTTTTAGAATCGTGCTTTCTCCCTTTCAACTTAGTCCCTACAAAGTGACTTATTTGAGCAAAAGTTGCATGTACTTCTAAGGAAGGCTGTTTTGCTTTTGGCAAGGGCTTTGCAAGGGCTCCACTGAGCTATTAACTCAGATGGATTTTATTTCTTTTAAGATAAGAAAAACGGGATGGATTGTTTTATATCTGCATCCTAAACTTATTTTCTTTTCTTTAAATCAAGGCTCAGATCTTGATGACATAGTACATTTAGGATATATTTAACTACTCTCATATGAGTAGTCCCATTGACTTCTATGGGATTTTCCCATGTATTAAAGCACTTACAAAATTTAATTAGAGAACTGGCATCTTTATTGGAAATCCCAATTTCACAAACACATGCCTAGCTTTTACTCACATGAATAGGTCCACTGAAGTCATATTGGTTTCTATGGTCTATTCACATGAGCAAGACTTGAACACATGAACATTTTTGATGAATCGACACTTTAGGAACATCTTGTAGATTATATTTTGTTATTATTTTCAAGTACATAAAGCCTAGCACATTTATTGTACATTAGAGTCTCAATTTAATCTGAAATAAACAAGAGAACTATTTTTGCCAATGGAAACATACAGAGAGATACTTTCTAACGGCAAATAGAGCTAATGCAGCACTCCCATCTGTTCACACTCCTTCAATTGGCCATTTGTGCAAACTTTAATGTGATAAAAGCATTGTATCACTATATAAATATAGAATTATAGAAACGTCAGTAGTGACTCCATAAATAAGGTTGCATGGAGAAATGCAATTAAACAGGGATCATGAACACAGTCCTGCAAGATGTTAATTGTTCTGGTCTGGTTCCAGCAAAGCAATTAAGCACATGCTTAATTTTAAACACATAAATAGACCTACTGAAATAAATAAAACTGCTTACATGCTTAAAGTTAAGCTTGTGTTAAAGTACTTTGGTGGATTGTGGTAGAATCCTAGAACCCTTCTTTTTTTTTATGTTAAAATATTTAGTTATTAAAATGCAGGTTACTTTGAGGCGAGATAGAGATTCAGTGTTAAGGTACTTATAAAGTGGAACAATTACTTAGGAAACGCATCAAATGCTCCAGTAAGTATGTATTTTGTCCTAATAAATTAAGACATTTCTCTGTGGAAAATTACTTCAATAATAATGTTTTTGAATGAACAGGACCTTAACTTCCTTTTAAATTTGCAACAATTCTCATACGACAGAGGAATAAGAATTATTTTCAGCTTGGAAAGGCTGTGTCAATAAACTCTGAATTTACAACTTATCAGTTATACAGAACACTTCCATAAGTATTCTTGCCTTTTATTTCCCATTAGTTCAAGGTTTCAGCCTAATGCTAGTTTTTATATGTCTTCTGTACCATAAACTCTAAAAACAAGACACGCAAACAGCATCAATACTAAGACAGTAAATGAGACTTCTGTACTAGAGTTACTGAAATTCAGAGTTATCCTTTCTTTCAGGATCTATATGAATTTATCAGTGTCTACAGTCTTCAAGCTTTACAAGGTCTTTTAAAGAAATGTTTTTTTCTGAAAGGCCTCTGTACATAAGATCTATAACTATCTACATACAGGTATAGATATCTAGGCCATCTAAGCTATCCTTCTGCTCAACAGAACATGGTTTTCCCTCCGAACTGTCTTAATGATAGAATGACATATTTGAACAAAATGTAGAGCTACTGTTGCAATTAACCTGAAATTTTCTTTTCAGATCTGAAAAACTTTTTCCTGAAAACTTGTCTGCTTTCTCCAACTGTATGATTTGATAAGACAGAAGAATTTCTCCTCCTGAAAATCTGCCTTACTTTTAAGCTGTATGTTCGTTCAACTAATTTAACACTAATCATAAAGGACATGATTCAGTCAGTATGAAATTTCAAGGTAGTATAATAAGATTTTCTTTAAAAAACAATAAAGATCCTATATGGTCCCACTTTTGAAGATGAGGAAGCAAGAAGGAACTAAACAACAGTACTGAAATCTGCTCATTAGCATTCTTCTTATTTTTGTTGCTTTGTTATTTAAGCCTCACTAAAAAAATATTTTGGTGATTTTATTTCTTGTTGGTGCAATTGAAATTTTTTTGCCCCTCCCCTAGCAATTAAAATATTGAAAAAAGTATCACTAGTAGCTAAAAGATGAATGTGATCAAACACTGGAAAATACAATTATGGCAGGCACACAATTATTTCCTAGAAGAATTCAGGGCAAGATTAAATATACTTCTGCAAGTAAGTCGGAGCAACCTGTGCATGACCAGTAGGTGTTAAAATAGCTATGCAGATGGGATTAGCAAACGTTAATTTCAGCAATGTTCAATTTATATTTCCAACTTTATTACCTCTGGACAGTCCCAAGTATTTGAATTGTCTTTGAAGTCACAAATAGCTAAGACTGAAAAATTCTGGATTCTCTTTAGCCATTGCACACAGATTCGACGATCTGTTACCCAAGTAAGCCAAGTAAAATAGTGATCACTAAAAAATAAAAGAAAAAAATAAAGAAAGGGTGGTTATTAAAAAACAGGACTATAGAAGCATTGCTACAGATTGTATCCCCCATACTGCCCTGTGGAAGACAACAGCAAAGCTTCCATTGTCTTAGGGATTTTTTTGGTCCTTTGTAACAATGTATCATATGGACAGACAGAATCAAAATACAACATTTCTAGTTAGCTTCTGATCCATCTAGGAGATGAATATGGCACACCACTGTTAAAAATGGAAAACAACTCAGAGGTTCAAGCATTTAAAACAAATAGACAAAAACCTTTTTAAAAAAGAGAAGACATATTTGAGGGCACACTACCTGGATGCTATGACTGCAGGAACTGGCACCTCCTTAGGACCAAATGCTTCAGCGTTAGTAGTATCGACAATAAACACTTTAACAGTAGGATTTTTAGCCCCAGCCTTCAAAGAAAATGTATCAGGTTATTCAAAGCAGGCTCTGAACAACTCAGATCAAGGAAAATCACACCACTTTTTGCAGGAAAAGGAGATAGGTTACAAAATATGGATTCAGTTGAGTATAATAGGGCAACTGTGGTCTTATAAGATCTCAGAGTGACACTACAGCAGTAGTACGTTATTTAACTTCGCATCATTTCCTACATAAAGAAGAAAACCTTTTAAACAGTCAAATTTAGTGTCTTTCTATACAGAAAACGTGTTTGATGGGAACCAGCATTCTATTTGCAGTGTGGATCTTTGCAGCACACGCTACACTTCTTTGGCATAAAACTCCAGGAATATAATTCACATTTGTAAGTGCTCTTTGAAATCCCAGCTGTGAAATAAAATGGTTTAGCTTAAACCGATTTCATGCTTGCTTACGCATTGCATACATTATTAGTTTTTACTTCTCCTCCATGTGTGGTCTAAACCATCCAGCTTTACTTTAGAACTGTAACCCAGCTGACAGGTGAGTCACTTCTTAAGATACATTAACATGATCACTTGCAATCGTATGAATACAACAAGAGTCAGGAGAGCTCTGTAATACATGCTGAAGAAATGCCAAACCAAAACCTTCTTGACTTAGATCTGGCACTTGAAAGCAGTTAAAATCCAAAGCCCCTTGAGATCAAAAAGCAGTACGAAGTGTGCAAATAAACTGAAGCTGTCATAGACTTTATTTTTCAAAATCAAAAATGTCTCATAATTCATTTACTGTAATGAAAAATAACAACTGCATAGTTAACACATCACAATAAGTAAACTGAACTGAAAAAAGCAAGGCTTGATCATGCAAGCATGCACTTCTGCACATGCTTCTTACTTACATGGGTACTTCTATTTATTTCACTGCTATTATGAAATATCTACACTTTTGAATGTACCTATACCTTTTCAGAACTTGGCCTGTTTTCTTTCATTAATTTAGGCCACAATGGATTTTACCACTGTAATACAACTATTTTTTAAGCACAGTTAATTTTATCATTGTTATAACTCATTTCTCAACAGAAAGTAAGTCAAAAGAATGAGAAAACATACCTTTGGGTATGGGATAATTATTTTTCTAGGATACTGGTCCTCACCAAAATATGAATATTCAATAACTGGTATGTCAGAATCATTAAATTTTACATACGCTAAGTATTTTCCACTTGGAGACCACCACAGTGCATATTTTGTTGCTAGCATTTCCTCTGAGGAAAAAAAAGAATTCATAATAGTTTATCATTGTAATCTATCTATCTTCTAATATATTTTAGCATTGTACTGTTAGCAACCTAGACATGTAAAGAGACTTATACTAAATAAATAACACCAAACATATTGCAATACATCTCAATTTTGAAAGGCCTTAAGAACTCTCAAAACAGGCACACAAATACCATTAATTTCACTTTAGTTTTTCATGTGCGCATGTGTTTATTTTTTTCTTTTTCTTTAATGCACTGAAGTGCCAAATTTTCACTAGAATTAAAACTTCCATTAAAGCTTAATTCCCAACCATGGCCTGTGCAGCAGAAGGAAGCTCAATTTGTAAGGTTCTGATGTAGTTTCAGTAACAAAAGACTCAGGATTTTGGTTACACACTATGAATACAAAATGCAGTCATATGGCAAATAAAATGTGGAAACGAAGTAATCCTTAGGGCTCTAAAAATAATGTATCATCACAGATATTTTAGAATGGATAGTGAGAACCAGGTAATCTAAACAAAGCATTTAACATGTTAGTTGTTGCCCTTCAAGATCTACTTACCTTCATAGACCCAATCAGGTATCCCATTAAATATTTCATTCTGTTTTCCATCACTAGTTATTCTAATTGGTGCCTCTCTTGGACTTTGTTTCAAGTAGATATTGTTCTGATATACATATACCTAAAGACAAGAAAGTATTTCTTATGAGTATAGGTACCAATAACAGGGGTAAGTAAGATCGTCTGCAGTCAGTGCTCTTACATTATACCAACAAGAAGACATATTGAATACAAAATGGGAAGTAAAAGCTACACTAAAAGCCCTTGCAAATTCTGCAAGAGTAGGTACCTCAGTAAACAAATTATACATTACAGGCCAAATTCTATGTTCAACTATGTCAGAATAAATCCTGAACAACTCCTGTGATTTTAATAAACTTCAGAGGATTCTGTGGCTAGCTTTGGTGTCGAAAATCATGAAAAAAAAAATCTTTGAAACTTATTCAAATTGCTGTGTTTTTTTAAGAGACCCTCAGACAAAGTGTTCTGTGACTTTTCCTTCTGGTGTCACCAAAAGTAGAAGATAAAAACAAAGACACAACACCTAAAAAGAAAATAATTGAACTTTTCTAAAACTGTCAAAAGGCTGAGGCAATGCGAGATGAGACAAAAGAAGGTTTTACTCTGTCTGGGCTGGTCTGTTCCTTTCTAGTAAATTAGTTACCAAAAGGGAGTTCTTGCAAGAAACGCTTGCAGGCCTTGGGCACCTCTAAATTTTAATCAAATGGATGGACAAATGAACCAGCACCAGAAACATCACTTTCTTAGAAAATTATGCCTTTTGAAGCTATAAGCATTTCTTACTTACTTACACATCAGTGTAACATTTTAACTCCTTGATGCTTTAAATGAAAAACAAAGCAACTCCTAAAACTCTCAGATATAACACAAGGACTACTGTATAAAAACATCACAGACTACTAGTACTAGGAAGATAGGAAACTTTCTTCATTGTGTTCTGTCTTCAGAATTCTTGATAAAGAAAATAACAGTATTTAAATTAATTGAGAGAACAAATACTCTCCTAGAACATGCAAAATTTCTCCTAATAAACTGTCCATTCATATTTAGCTCACTCCCTGGGTATTTTCTGAAATTAGTATGGTGTTTAAATTCTTCTTCTTGCACAAATATTTTGTCAATACTGAATAAGTAGTTAAAAACCACCAACTATTATTGGGCTGGTGCTTTGGAACCAAGAATAAAAGAAAGTTTATAAACTTGTTACTATATGCAATAGCTCTATTATAACTACTGAGAAATACATACTTCGCTATCAAGTAGCTATTAAATGCAAAAAAAAATTGTAATAAGAACCTGGCAGCCATTTTCTAGAGTAAAAATTTTAGAAAATATTTTAAATACTACATCTCTAAATCTCCATAGTAAACTCACATTTTATACAGTGTCAAAGGAAAACACATTGGTTTTCAGGCCTTGAAACTACATTTAATCCTACATACAATTATGTTGGTCAATTCTTGATAAGAGACTGGCTAGCGAACTGAAACACATAACGTAGCTGAGAACATGGATTCTTCTACAGAGACACAGACAAGTTAAACTTTCACAAGTTAAAACTCTTTTCTTTGTCATTCTTGCTCACAACCAAGGTTACACACAGGCCTGTCAAAAATACGGCCTAACGAAATAATAACCAAAGGCAAATAAATGTCTTCTAGCCACACAAAGCAAAATCACTCTAGCACTTTGTTATCTTTACTGACCAATTTGTGTCCAACGGGTGACCAGGATATATGCTGAATTTTATGTGGAAGCTGATTTTCTGTTACAAAACCACTAAAAAAAGGAAAGAAGTTCAGATGGCTTTTTGCGCACAGTGTAAATGGATCATTATACTGTACCTTCATATAAAATTAATGAAGGGCTATATTTTCTAACAGCTTTTTGTTTCTTGACCAATGCAACATTAAGGCAGGCAGTGAGACATGCAGTAATGTGATGGTGTGCACCAGTGCTGGTAAAGGCTTGCAACTCAACCCTTTGAAAACATATTCAACAGCCTAAGAAGCCAGCCTTTTCTCTTTCTAAATACTGCACAGGCATCTACAGTCATTTGCTCTATGTGCAGTCTGCGTTACAGTCTCAGCAAGTTATCAGGAAATGTGAACTTAGGGTATGGCATGCTGAGGCAAGCATAACAGCAGCAGTTACAACATCTGTTAAGGATCATGACCGACATGCAGTACCTCTCTACTCACATTAGCTTGCAGCAATCTTTTCCTGTCACCTTGAGCCAACAGTTTCCCAAGAATGGAGCAGCTCATTGCAGCCCCTGTTGCTCAGAACTAAGAAGCATTTGGTCATGCTGCTACTTATGGCATAAAAAGGTGACTGGGGAGGCAGATGTGAAAGAGTAGTAGTTTGGGGAAGATCTTGTGAAAGAGACCAAATGCCATGGGAGAAGCTGTAAACTTTTGAGGAACCCAAGATGGACTGTTACGAGATCACTGGAGCACTAAAGGACCTGTGAGAGTTTCAGGAAAGCTAAATATTAGATCAACCACAAAAAGGATGAATTAGACAACAGAAGGGCATGGAGAGAGCAGGTGTAAGACATCAGCTGTGAGACTTGGCTATCAAGCAGCCAAGACAGGGTGGGAGAAAATTATGCAAGGAAGAAAAAAATATGAGAATCTTGAGCAGTGAAAGAAAGTTTTAGGGCATGAAATATAACCCAGTCCAGATACCTGGATGAGTACATGAAAGGACTGTATGATTTTCTTAGAGGCTATTTTTTTCAAGCAAACAAGTAACCTGACAGACTCAGGCAAAAGCAAAGTAGGGTGGCAGTCACATTACTATAGAGTTTTTCAGTGGAAATACTTGCAAGCACATCACTACAGAGTATTCACCATAGCTCTCTGCAAGAAATATCAGGCCTTACCCATATATGAGATCATAAATGTGGTATGATGCTGTATAAGAGTATCTCCACAGCTGCAAAAATTCAGCAAGAAAATAATGTTAACTTGGAAAAAGATAATCTAATTAAAAATAATCAGCTGCCTTTTCATAGCCTACCCCTTTCTCAAGAAAGTACCAAGAAACATTTACACATGGCAACCATAATCAACAAAATACTAAACGAAACCAAACATTTCATTAAGCAATATGTTAAAATAATTACCTTTGAATAATTGCTTTCCAGAGCTATGAAATTTTTGTCTGAGGACAACACATAATTTGAAGCATTAACTTGTTTCTGAAAGATTAAGAAGTGGATTAGATTCTAGTAAAAAAACTTTAAATAAGGATTTGATGAGTCAGGTTTTAATCCACTCACTTTTAAACTGGTACTTGAAACGCAACTGCATTTTGCTGCCTTTTTATTAATTGAAAAGGTACGTACCATTGTGCTGTTAGTCATGATGGTAGTTGGGTAGTTCATTTCAACATTGTAAAGAATAATATCATCTTCTGCAGACTGATGAAGATATTCATTATCTTTATAAACAAGATAAAAGGGCTGTTACCTTGCGCAGAAGATATTATAGAACAGATCCGTTTATCAAAGTATTCACACTCTTGTCAGGGAATAGATTTTGAGCAACTATCTTTTGGCATCTACACAAAAAATGTTTTTCTTCTAATGATGCCAAGGTACAGAGTTATCAGCAAACTGCCTTCAGGGTTCTTGAGTATGTTCTCAAGATTACACACTGCACACAGAATCAGCTAGTTAACTTTATAATTAAATGCCAGATTTTATTCTCAGTAATGTTTGATCACGAATACCAGGGACAGACCCATTAGAAGGTCAGTATCACAATGTAAATGTTTTAAAGAAAACATTTGAGATCTTTGCTTATAATTTCACCAGAGCATTCTCATTTGTACAGATTCCGCAGGTATCAGCAGTACCACGTAACTGACACTACATAAATGATACTGCCCTTAAAATGCTCACAGTTTACTGAGATCATGCGTTGGTGGAGTTCACACTCCTAAGGGACATGGGAAAAGTGAGGAGTACAGTCAGGACCCTAAGTTTTAGAAAAGCAAAATTCCAGCTCTTCAAGGAGTTAGTCAGAAGGAACCCGTGGGAAACGGTCCTCAGGGACAGGGGAATGGAACAGAGCTGGCAGATCTTTAAGGACACCTTCCACAGAGTGCAAGAGCTCTCAGTCCCCAGGTGTAAGAAATCAGGCAAGGAAGGGAAGAGACCAGCGTGGCTGAGTCAAGACATGCTGGTCAAACTAAAGAGTAAGAGGGAACTGCCCAGGCAGTGGAAGCAGGGACAGGTGTCCTGGGACGAGTACAGGGAAGCTGCCCGGTTGTGTAGGGAGGGGGTCAGGAAGGCCAAGGTGCAGCTGGAGCTGAATTTGGCAAGGGATGTAAAGAATAACAAGAAGGGCTTCTACAGGTATGTCAACCAGAAAAGGAAGGTTAAAGAAAGCGTACCTCCCCTGATGAACAAGAATGGCGACCTAGTATCAACAGACAAGGGGAAGGCTGAAGTACTCAACAACTTCTTTTCCTCGGTCTTCAGCGGCAACCTCTCTCCTCACCCCTCCTGAGTTGATGGACCAAAAGATGGGGACCAGGGGGTAAAGCCCCTCCCACTGTAAGGGAAGATCAGGTTCGAGACCACCTGAGGAACCTCAATGTACACAAGTCTATGGGACCTGATGAGATGCACCCCAGAGTCCTGAGGGAATTGGCTGATG